TAAAATTTGCCAGCATTCAAGAACAAATAAACGGGAAACATAAAAATTACGTCCCACGACAAGGTTTTACACTCACAGCGGGTTTTAAAATTGTAAAACCTCATCTTCAAAAGTTCAGAGATCTCGGCAGGAAATAAAGCTTTTAATTTGAATGCGCTCTTTTACTATGCAGAACTCAAATGGTTTATATCTTGAGAAATAAGGAACTGTAGACTTTTCTCACTCTTGCATTATTTAATACAAATTTCGTTGAAATATATTGAATTATCGTTGGGTTAAGATCGATATATCGAAAAATATTATTTATAATATAAAGGCTCTTTACTTTTGTAAGACTCACCATCTTTCTATTTTTTGACAGTGGGCCGAATCCGTTAAATTAATATAAAATTAATGATCCTAGCCGGTCCTCAAGGTTTAAAAAAAATACATCTTTTAGGGTAGGTCGGTTTTGCCCCACCTTTCCCCATTTAAACCTCCAAACTAAGCAATGCTGAAATCTATCTTTATAGGAATAAAATTTTCCACATTACCGTGCTAATTTCACAAAACTCGGCAATGGGAGTTAATTTTGGTGGATTTCCGGGCGTTTTATTGCCATATTGAGTGTCAAGTGTATAACGAGCGCCCATCAATGTTTTCGGCGGGGATTTGTCCATAAATAATTCATCGAAACATGTAACAAAAGTGCGTCAAGTGGTCGCCCCCACACCCGGGCACAAGTATTGGATTACATGAGGGGACGCGTCTGTCGCATTTTGCCAGAGTGGATGTCTATTTTTTATGGCACCCCGGGGAAATGACGTACTATGAATGCCGGTTTAATACACAAAACTTTGACAATATTGTCGCACAGTTAGCACGGATACACACACCAACCGTACCTCATACCCACTCCGCGGGAGCAATAGACTCGCAGCCAGACAAATGTGCGAATAAAATTGCTATTTTTGTGCCGCTTGCGTCTATTGTTAGCCAAGTTATTCAATCTCTTTACACGCACACATTGGCACGGGAACGAATGGCAAATAAATGGTCGGTATATCAACAAATCGATCATTTTTCCGCAGTTAAGCCGAAATCATTGGAAGGCTGGCAGTCCGGCCGAGGGCTCCACCACATTAAGATTTAAAGCAAACAAATGCGGTGTGTATCCGTTGTGGCCTGCGTCACTCCGAAAATGGCACACGCAAATAAAGTTAAAGGGCCGAAAACTGCGGAGGGCTGAGGACCGACAAATTTATCAAGTGGCCAGCCATTCCGACTCATAAGCCATTCATTTGGGTGGCTTAGTTGCTGCTAGCCCTATTGATTCCGGCCATCATTCTCGGCCCACAAATGTAGGCAACAGTTGGCAAACAAGCTGCTCGCCCATTGATTAATTGCCGAACTTCCCTCAGACATTGCCATTTGCATTAGCAGCTCTTAAATTGAAATCAAAACAATCTGACTGCACAGAGGAAAATTTATTTTCCATACTATGATTTAAGCATTTTTAAAAATTTAAAGTAATATGTGTCTTATTATAGATGGTTTATAAGTTTAATGAGATTTTGTAAAAAACACCAGTGCCTTAACTTTCCTGGACAGTAATATATAAATATGAAATAAAATATATCTATATATATAAATTTAACTTGGTTTTAGAATAAACCTTACTTTCCTACCATTTTTTTAACTAACTAAACAGAGAGAATCTATTATTTACAAAATTGTAAGTAATCAATTCATAAAAAAATAAATTTAATTTGTTTTTATATAGGTGAATATGATATGATATGAAATGATCTGATATGATATGATATGATATGATATGATATGATATGATATGATATGATATGATATGATATGATATGATATGATATGATATGATATGATATGATATGATATGATATGATATGATATGATATGATGTGATATGATATGATATGATATGATATGGTATGATATGATATAATATGATATAATATGATATGATATGATATGATATGATATGGTATGATATGATATAATATGATATGATATGATATGATATGATATGATATGATATAATATGATATGATATGATATGATACGATATGATATATTATCATATGACCATATGATCTGGATTCAACTTTTAATACTCGTACCTTACTTTTTCCCAGTGTCTCGGAGATAAATCTAAGACCTTCTTTTATGACCCTACTTTCGCCCCTTTGTGTTTTTTTCGAATAAAAGCAGAGTACACAAATAAAATCCTTCGCTTTGCTCTCCTCGAATGGTTTTATTTAAGTTTCGCGCTCATTGTTTTTATTTGCTTTTAATAGGTGGATGCGGAGCCGGAGCTGTGGCTTCTTGGTCGAGGCTGAATACGAATACCTCCCTTGGGTGGCAACTTTAGTGGCTGCCCGCGTTTGCTTTAACATTGAAAAAGTTTTCTTCGCCGCTTTCTTCGAAGGCAACAGCTCATAAAACAAACTGGATACCCACTCTTACTTTTTACTTCACCTGGGGTTTTTCCATTTCCTAGGTGCCAATGAGAATGGCGGCGAGGGAAAAGTCCGCAAAAGTTTTCCCAACAACAAAAGGTCACTGAACAATTGACAAAGTCGTCGTGCTGTTGTCTCGGGGTTCGCCAAACGCCATTTAAAAAGTTTTGCATAATAGTTGGCCCGAGATCTTGCCAAGTACCCGTAAAGGTTGAGATTTCTCAAATGCCAAAACAATATTACCACACAAAAAGGAATAAATCTTTTGTCCAGTTAACCAACTTAGGGATACCCTCTAGTAACAGAATTGGTTGCCTATCTAAAGGCGTGATTAAATATTACCAAATAGGGTATTTATGTTTATAAATGTTTAATATTTTTTAATTAATGTTTTAATATCCTAAATACAACTTTATATGGTCCTTAAATATCTGGGGCTGTCCAAGAACATATTTATGTACTAAAGAGTTTCAGAAAATCTTCTCCGTTAAATACTTACTCTTCCATAAAAACAGTATACCCTATGTTTAGTACAAATACTCGGTATGAAAAACAAGAACCCTTAGATGCTAAAATCCAATGAATTTTCATTCAATTAAAAGTTTGCAGTGCAGAACACTTTAGTGCTCTTACAAATCAATATACAAATTCTAATAGTTTGTGCTTAACATCTTACGAATGGGTTATTCAGAGCTGCAAGCGAAGGACAGTGAGACGGGCCTCTTAAATTTATTAAGTACACACATTCAGTTTTCGAACCGGATCAAAGGCTTCGTTCTGGATATATAAATATAAAATGTATTGATTCACTTATTACTTTATTATTCAAAAGTCTTACCGTTAAGGAAATTTTTTGAAAAAAGTATTATATTATAGTATTAAAGTATTATATCTTATATTATTCACTTTAAAAGTGAAACTTCCCTTGTTTTTCACTTTGTAATTGCAGTTTTCGCCGTCGAATAGGCCCCCAAATGGCAGTTTCGTTATTCAAATATTATAACACGTTACAGATGTGTGGCCAGATTCGCCAATTTTTCTGTGGTATACTTTAGTGCGTTTCTTTGGTCTCTTGACTCTGCTTCCATGGTCACACTCTCAGTTCGTGCAACTTTTTGTACGCAAATAAGAAAAACAATTTGCTGTTAGCAAATCGATAATTGCAAACGCAGTGCCGTTTCAATTGCAGCAGAAACCGCGACGAAAATGTTAGCCAGTGAGACGAGGCAAATCCTGAGCCGTGTGGGCTCCCTGGTGGCCAGGAACCAGGTGAGCTGAGGACTAGATGGACGGGCCCCTTGCTACTTTGGCCAGAATTTAATGGGCGTGGGCGGGGGTGCAGGCGGCTTTTGGGCCAGTGCAGTTATATAAGGCGGAAATGGGGGTCCGGGACATATAGGCGAAAGATAAACATGCAACCCAGAGCGTCGTAATTAAGGGAATTTGCCAACGGGCATTAACGGTTATGTAAACGTTTTTTTCACTGGCAGCTGGATAAAAATGGTTGCAGCGTGATTTTCTCATTTTCCGATCATCCCATTTCCAGCTTCGATCCATCAGCAATGGCACCGCCCAGCTGGATCAGCAGGCGCAGCCCAAGGAGGCCCAGGAGCCGCAGATCAAGAAGTTCGAGATCTACCGCTGGAATCCGGACAACGCCGGCGAGAAGCCCTACATGCAGACCTACGAGGTGGACCTGCGCGAGTGCGGTCCCATGGTGCTGGATGCCCTGATCAAGATCAAGAACGAGGTGGACCCCACCCTCACCTTCCGGCGCTCCTGCCGCGAGGGCATCTGCGGCTCCTGCGCCATGAACATCGGTGGCACCAACACGCTGGCCTGCATCAGCAAGATCGACATTAACACCTCTAAGTCCCTGAAGGTGTACCCTCTGCCCCACATGTACGTGGTGCGCGATTTGGTCCCGGACATGAACAACTTCTACGAGCAGTACCGCAACATCCAGCCCTGGCTGCAGCGCAAGTGAGTTGGAGTATTCATTCCATATTGGTAAACCACTAACCATACATTCTCCGCAGGAACGAGGCCAGCGAGAAGAAGGGCAAGGCCCAGTACCTGCAGTCCGTCGAGGACCGCTCCAAGTTAGACGGTTTGTACGAGTGCATCTTGTGCGCCTGCTGCTCCACCTCGTGCCCCTCGTACTGGTGGAATGCCGAGAAGTACCTGGGCCCCGCTGTGCTCATGCAGGCCTACCGCTGGATCATCGATTCGCGTGACGAGAACTCCGCCGAGCGGCTAAGCAAGTTGAAGGACCCCTTCAGCGTCTACCGGTGCCACACGATCATGAACTGCACGCGCACCTGCCCCAAGGGCCTCAACCCCGGCCGGGCTATCGCCGAGATCAAGAAGCTGCTCTCGGGTCTGGCCTCCAAGCCGGCTCCCAAGCTGGAGACGGCGGCTCTGCACAAGTAGGGCCCCGAGTAGAAAACCCTGTTCGTCCCCCGATGTCCTTAACCAGTGAGCTAAGCCTGCGGAAATCTGTAGTGGAGAGTCCTTTAACGCACTTGCTTACTATGTTATAATTTATTTAAGCCTAAAGTATCCGACACTTGTTATTACTGTTTGTAAAGGGAACAAGACGCGAAAATAAATAATTGTGTATCCACCAGGCGAAAAAATTGTAATCTCGACATTCAGAGACCGGAGATAACCATCCCTTCAGGGAGCTGTTGGCGAGGTCTCGTCGTTCATCTGGATGTCATCGGCGGAGTAAAAGTCCTGGGTGACTGGAATGACGCGATCGTTGGTCTCGTCATCCTCTTCGTCGTGACTGTCCGTATCCTCGCTGTCATCGTTGGCTAAGGGATGGGGATTAGGTGTGCTGCTGGTGGAGTGTCCCATTTCTCATACTCACCATCCTCGTCATCAGTCTCAATTCCGGGAATGGTGAGCATCTTGCCCAGGGGCTGGAGGTCTGTTCCGGCTGTTTTAAGCGACTCCCGCTGCAGGGATAATTAAACTACTACAAGTCATTCAAGAATCGGGGTCCTGAAAAGGCTTACCCAGTTGCTGCGCTCGTCCTCGTAGCGCCGCGTCTGGGACTCCTCGTTGACAGAGGCGGGAGCCATGTCCAACCAGTAGCGATTCGCCACGGACACCTTGAGTGTGGGAAAGAACGGAATCATGGACATCTCGCGGAATATTAAATCTGCAGTTTCCAATTTTTGTTATTATTTCCCCGGACGCTCGTTCTTCGATCTGGCAACGCTGTAACAGATTGCGAAAATACCAAATGTTACAGGGGCGTAATCAAAGGGGTCTCTTTTATGACTTCTTTTTATTTATTTTTCTTTTACAACAAACATTATCCAAGATGTACAGTATTTATTCAAAATGAGTTTATTTATCAAAGATGCTATATAAAAGGGGACAGTAACGATACAGGAACTCTTCCCTCGCAGATTTATTGGTAGTAAAGTTCCAGGTTCATGCCATCGTGGATTTCATCTAAGAAAATGGGAAAACAAATTCGTTTTAAGGTATTCATTGCAAAGCAATTGCTTAACGGCTTACAGTCGGATAGGCGGATGGGATCCTTGTAGATGGTGTACCACTTCTTCAGGACAATCTTCTCGTGCTTTGTGCCCGTTTGTGCCGCAATGAGTTTCTTGAGGTCCCCGATTGTGTCGTCGGGATTGCACTTGACGCGCACCTGCGATTTAGGCGTTCAGTTAAGGAGATTACCGTTTGCTCTGGAGTCTGAACTCACCTTCTTGCCAAGACGATCATTACACGTTATTTCTATCATATTTTATGGCTTTGCAGTTCAATTCACAACAAGAAAAACTCTTGTTTTGATATATTCGGCTTAGGGTTGTCAACTGTTTTTAACTGAATAACCCGTGGTTTGAGTCACTGCTAACCGTCCGTGCTATGTTATCGCTAACTTTGCCTTTCAATTATTGAGGGTTTTCACAAAAATGTTACATCGTTCAAAATTAAGCGGATAATTTGAACAGTAGACGGGGACGCATTAATTAACTTGAAGTTTTTTCTTTAATTTACATCGTGATTTCACTCTGAGAATAGTTATATATTTAAGAACTCTAGGCTTTTGTAAATCTCGTAGATCTGTCCTCTTCGCGGAATACCAAAGGATCTTAGCATTTCGCGAGCATCAAAGGTGTCCCCTGTGTCGACCGCCTTATTCTTAAATCAGATGTTCACTATAATCGTGCCCAAATGTATAAAATGCAACAGTCCGTGGGCCTCACACCAATCCGGGAATTTCTGAAGGTGCGGAGTAAAACCTACATTTGTAAAAAAGTCGAATTAACTACAAAGTTCCATAGCTTTCTAACATCACCCAAGTCTGAAAAGGCCTTAACATTTGAGTGGAATTTGTAAGGCGGTTAACAGTATCGAAGACACCATTCTGACATTTTAGTGTGACCGTTTGAAATATATTTGGTAATTTTGAATAAAACCTGCCGCGGTCACACTGACCCTGCCTTCCTCCCCGCCCCTTAGCAGCACAATCTATTCGAATTTTTTCGCCGCTCGGAAAAGACGTGATTTCGTCGACGCGCCAGTTGAGGCTATTTATAAAACATTTTCGGCGCTTGCAAACAAGCCGCATATTCATCTAACAAAATCTAAAATAAATTCATTAAGTGCGGTAGAACAAGAATATTATTAAGTAAGTGCCATAATTATGGGCGAATTGCCTAAAACAATAAAACGATTGCCCAGTTGTAATTGTGTTCGTGTGTGTGTGTGTGCGTGCTTCATTTTCACAGTTACGTTTATGACGCAGCTGCGGAAAACTTGTTTGGGTTTCCATTTCACCGAAATACCTACTGTTTGCGCCTGTGCTGCGAACCCATTTTCGGCAATTCACTGTATTGATTAGCGCGCGTTGTTTGTTGTTTGTGAATGGCGTGGTGGTGGCCGCCGGAGCACCCTGTTCCGCCTACCCCGCCCCCTGGAATCTATGCTCAAAAGGGGATTCTCCCCTCCCACTCCCACCGAAAAATCGACTTTATGAGTCCACCATTAGTTCCACGGTCACTGGCAAGCAATTCGCGATCCGAAAATGCTCTCTCCTATTTTTAGAAGCCGTCTTTACGGCCTGCCTATGCCTACTTACCTCCCCATTGCATTCTAATTAAAAACCGGGCATTGCGCTCAATTCATTTTATTTCATTTCCACACGCATCGCATTCGCATTGCATAATGTTGCGAGAAAAGCCCGATAGGAAAAGCACTCGAGCATTAAAGTAAAGTATTAAAGTAAACCCCACCAATGTTTTCCAGCTGCCCAATTGTAAACAACCCACGCCCAGCACACACACACAAACATACTCGCTCTCACGGTCACAGACGGGTTTTAATGTTTACTCCAAATACATAAATCGCTGCCCATGTTAATTATTTTCGTTCCCCACAGGGCCCCGAGCACTTGCAAGAGAATCTAATCATGAGCGATGATACGTACCAGATAGAGACGCGTCGGCGGTCGCGTTCCAAGACCCCCTTTTTGAGATCGGCCGATCACGCTGGAGAGGATGGACATGTGCACCACCCCAAAAAGAAGTCAGCGGTCCCCAGTGTGCAGTAAGTGTTTGGGATAGTCCCGAAATAGGACCTCTTCAGCTAGAACCCCTCTATGAAAATAGATTACAATTGGTCCTACACTTTTGTTATTGCTAGAACCCATAATCAGTAAAAGTAGTTATATTTATAGAGGCTTTTTAAGGGGGGGGAACTAGAGTTATATGAGTTTTACTATAATTACAGGCTATTAGGAAATCCTATTTAATTCCACGTAATACAAGATTTGTTAACTTTTATTAAGCAATCGCGTCACAACTACAGTCGAACTTCGATAGTCTCACATCCAATTCGGGTTAGAATGACTTTAAAATATTTGACTAATGATTTCCAGAGAATACCTTTTTAAGACGCTTCGAAAACAAACATCAATAGAGATTTCTGAGATAACACTGTACATTATTATAGCGACCATAAGTTCCATTAAGAGATGTTTGACTGTACAGCGATACATATTTGTAGTGACTGTATGCCGTGTGCTTGCCGCCATGACGTCACCTCCTTGTTATTCACGCTCGGCGCGAATTTCAATTTCGAAACGGGCAGAAAACGAAGGCAAAGCCACATACAGGGTGCGGTATCTCGTCGAGCTTCGTTAGCTTTTGGCGCCTAATTTAAGAGAGCCCCACGCTGTGATCAGTCTTTCAAACTCGATGACGACACTCGGAGCCCCACGTTGGCCATCACAGATTCGTTTTCACGTTTTAGCCACAAAAACGAGCAGGTTGGGGTGGGCTAACAGCCAGCAGCGTTGAAGGTCAGCGGCGTTTATGAGCATATTTTTGTATTTTTGTTTTGATACGTTGTACTCGCAGTTAGAAACGATTTCGAACACGTTATCAGGGACTTACTCACTTGAATATTTTCGATAAATCTTAACCAACTACTATCTACATCCCTTTTAGAACGATAGTGGAGGAGCACAGAGTGGAGTCGAGCAGCAGCAAGAAAACCCGAGGCAAGGCCTTTGCCCAACTGACCTCGGACTACTCCAGCGACGACATGACCCCGGAGGCCAAACGCAAGCAGACGTCGACCACCACCACAGTCACCTCGATCTTCACCAAGCTATCCGGTGGAGCCACATCCACGCCGCGCAACAGAAGCCAGCTGGAGACCACACAAAACGCGCTAAACTCCGCCCAGGAGAAGCTCAACCACTCGAACGGCAACCTCAGCTCAGGAAATGTCAGCGACTACCTGGCCTACATTGAGTACCGTGATGCTGGCGAGTACTGGAAGTTAGTAAACTAAATCTGAACCCTTAAAACCAAATACTCATTGAGTTGTCTTGCAGCAAAACCCCTAAAACGGACTACACCTACTCCGAACTGTCCCCCCACCGCCGCCAGCTGGCACCGGGCATTGTGGCCATGCCCAACATGTCCAGGCGCAGCCTAGAAAACCACAACGATCGTGTCAACTACATGGTTAAGCAGAACCCCGCCCAGGAGGAGTTCATCCGCCGCCGCTACCAGTCCAATTACGCCCGGCAGACCAACTACGACTCCGCAGACGAACTGGACGCCACCTTTGGGCAGAAGCAGAACCAGAGCTGGTGGCTCGTCCGCCTAATCCAGCTGGTCGTTAGCAGCATCACCACAGTGTGGACTCGAGTGACCAATCTCTCAGCCACTGAGACAAATGCCTACCAAAACTACTATGCTAGGCGCCAACAGAGTCAACAAGTTGGATTCCTGGGAAAAGTTGCCCAGTCTATCGGAGGAGGTTTCACGAGTTTGCTGCGCTACTTGTACATCTTCATTGGATCGGTGCTGAGTTTGGACACGTGGTTGCTGCGTTCTTCGGTTGCGGAAAACAAATCGAAAAAGCGGTTCTTCATATTTTTGCTGATTCTGCTGCCCTTGCTGCTGTTGACTGGTAAGTAGGCCTCCAAAGCACCGTCCGATTTACAACGATGTAAAGTAAAATATGTTCGATCGTGTGCCCTGACCTTGCGTCGGTTCGAGAATTCGTGCTTTATGTATATGTATCACCTTCGGTGGGTTTATTTATACACTCGGCTGGTCGTTGACAGTCGCGTGACGCCATCAGTAATTTGTTAGTAAAATCCCGAGGATCAGAACTTTATGGCCACGTGATGACATGTTTTGCTTTGCATTCGCCATCTGCCAAGGACCAACGCCTAATTTGCTTTGCCTTTGCAGGTCTGTTCTATTACATACACCCCAATGAAACTTTCCCACCCAAATCCCTGTCCGAATACACATTCACCCTACCTGAGTTGCCCAAGATCAACGTGAGCGACTACCTGAACCAGGCCCAGTATGAATCGCTGCGCTCCCAGGCCGCCGAGCATGCGGTGCGCGTTCGCGACTGGGCCGACGACTATGTTTTGTATTTGAGAACCATTGGCCAAAATGTGGTCAACAAGGGGCGCCAGATTTTTCAAGCCGACGATGAAGTCTATTATGAGCGTGTGTAGGGAACATCTGGAGTGGGCAGGCTACCGTTTGGTGGCCGAACTGCTGCAGCAGTTTCTTATTTAATAGGATCCTCTTAAGACGACAACGCTCCTTGGCATATCAACAGATATGCAAAACTTTCTATATGAACAATTCAAGTACAAACTGAAGCATTTGGTCCGCGTATTGTCCGTCTACTGGGATCGCAATTATCCCATTTATGTTCTACTTTCTTGTCCCCTCATTTACTTTCTCATGGACAACCACCCCACATATATCCCACCCTAACAACCAACACGATTCCCAACACAATGCAACATCACAGGCTGATGGGAGAAGGATAGAGCTCGCCGCTGTTCAAATTGCAGAACTCTTGTAATCATTTACGAAAACTGAACTCTTGTCCAACAATTAGGGCCATTATCCGTCTGGGTGAATGCCCTAACTAAATCTTTTTTGTTGTCAAACAACGTTTAATTGTAATTTGTTCACTGTTTGCTTTGTAATAGTCTATACAAAAAATAAACCGCAAACAATTTCATACAAAACATCAAGTACAAAAGAAGAGTAGTTTGTTTTATTTGCCATTTGTTGGAAGTTAGCTAAATGGTAAGTAAAATGTAAACAAGCAATATTGGTTGGCCAAAACCGAACTCTATCCTTCTGCATTTGTGTTGGAATTAACCCCAAAGACAAAGTTCCCCTTACCTAAGTCAGTTTATATATGCAAGTTGTGGGGAACTGGAAATGTAGAAGGATTGCCAACTAATAGTGCTCTGTTTCGTTTTTTCTTCGGTCAGGATGGTCGCTGTTGCAGGAGGATCAACGTATTGAGTACGTTCAGCGTGCCGAAGCGCTGTTGCCGCTGCCGTTGACCCTTTTCGGGTCCCTGCAAAGCCGTTTGTCCAATGCTGGAGCCTCCTTGAAGAGTTGGCTGCAGGTGCCCATCGTTAGAAGTCCCCAGGAGGAAGCCGAGGCCATCAAAATCAACATGGCCAGCATCGAGAAGAACATACAGAAGGCCTTGACTGCGGAGGAGTACGAGAATATCTTAAACCATGTCAACAGCTATGTGCAACAGTTGGTGGAGCTGAAAATGCAGCAGCAATCAAAGGATCTGCCCCCGCAGCAGGTGCAACTCATTGTTCAGCTGATGAAGGAGAACCTGCAGCAGTTCGCCGAGAAAACACAGCTAACCGAGAAGGATTTGGCTGATCTGGCCATAAAACTGAAACTGGAGCTGCAACAATCTGGCGACTGGCAGGATGGAGCGAAGCTATCGCAAGCCAACATAGAGGAGATCACAAGGCTTATTAAGTCAGAGGTCCACCTGCACGAATCTAACTACACAATTCAATTGGAAAAGATTGACTTTGCGGCGCTGCTGGATCGCATCTTGCTGGCTCCCGAGTTGGCCGATTTTGTAGATGCTCGCATTAGTCTCAAGGTGCAGCAGCTAGAGCCGAAGGAGAGTTCTGGTTCCCCTCCCACAGAAATCGAAATTGATCGCCTAAACAGGGAGATTGCATTCATTAAGCTGGCCCTTTCTGATAAGCAGGCGGAGAACGCCGACCTGCACCAGTCAATCAGCAACCTGAAGCTTGGTCAGGAGGATCTGCTGGAACGCATGCAGCAGCACGAACTGGCCCAGGATCAGCGCTTCAGCGGGCTTCTGGCCGAAATCGAGTCCAAACTTTCTGCCCTCAACGACTCGCAGTTCGCTCTTCTCAACAAGCAGATCAAACTTTCCCTGGTCGAAATTCTTGGTTTCAAACAATCCACCGCTGGCGGTGCCGCTGGTCAACTGGATGATGCCGATCTGCAGAACTGGGTGCGCAGCATGTTCGTGGCCAAGGACTACCTGGAGCAGCAGCTGTTGGAGCTGAACAAGCGCACCAACAACAACATCCGCGACGAGATCGAGCGTTCCAGTATCCTGCTGATGAGCGACATCAGCGAGAGGATCAAGCGGGAGATTCTGCTGGTCGTGGAGGCGAAACACAACGAGAGTGCCAAAGCGCTGAAGGGCCATATCCGCGAGGAGGAAGTGCGCCAGATAGTCAAGACAGTGCTGGCTATTTACGATGCTGACAAGACGGGTCTGGTGGACTTTGCCCTGGAGTCGGCGGGCGGCCAAATCCTCTCGACGCGTTGCACCGAGAGCTATCAGACCAAATCAGCTCAGATATCGGTGTTTGGCATTCCACTCTGGTACCCCACCAACACACCGCGGGTGGCCATCTCACCCAATGTGCAGCCGGGAGAGTGCTGGGCATTCCAGGGTTTTCCCGGATTCCTAGGCAAGTCGCGAGTCAATACTTAATCTTAAGAAATTCTTACAATTTTCACCCTCACAGTGCTGAAGCTCAACTCGTTGGTGTACGTCACTGGATTCACCCTCGAGCACATACCCAAGAGCTTGTCTCCGACAGGAAGGATAGACTCCGCTCCTCGCAACTTCACCGTCTGGGTAAGTGTGAACAATCTGCAAAACATTTAGTCTAGATCTAATCAGATTTACATATATTCAGGGGTTGGAGCAAGAGAAGGACCAGGAACCTGTGCTGTTCGGCGAGTACCAGTTCGAGGACAATGGCGCCTCCCTCCAGTACTTCGCCGTTCAGAACCTGGACATCAAACGGCCGTACGAGATCGTCGAATTGCGCATCGAGACGAACCATGGCCAACCCACCTATACATGCCTCTACCGGTTTCGAGTGCACGGCAAACCCCCAGCCACATAGATCTAACCGAGTCCCTCTCTATATAGTTACCTAAGTACTGTCAGGTGTACATAATGTCTGTGCCTTAAAAAGGAAACTCAACAATTTATTATCGCGAGATGTGGATCAACTGAGCCCAGCCGCCTTTAACTTATGCAAACTATGTGAAGAGTAAGGCTATAGCTTTTAAGTGTTTTGTATCATATCGTAGGATTGAAGTGTTTATACCCAAGTAAGGTTAACTTGTACATACCTAAATAAGTAAGTCGGGGCTCGAGTCCAGTGTCCAAGGAAAGTCCTATAATATTTATTCACACTTAGTTTGTCCCTCTGAAATCAATCATCGTTCCTTTAAGTCTACTCTACTAACATATGGATATTTTTTACCATGTTTGCCATTTAAAAGCGTTTTGAACTAAATAGTCATAGTTTGTCTAAGCCGCACACTTGCTGGAAATCTATAGTTTAAGTTATGCCTAAGCCAAAATGTTTTACAATGGAAACTTGCACACTTATAGCAATAGTGATTTGAATTTATCTAAAAAAACATCCCCTCTGAAATAGTGTAAAATAAAATTGAAACTCAATGAACATCTCAACTAAAACTATCGAATGAAACCTGCACATATCTCACCCAATCAATTTAATCCAATCCAAAGTTTTCCGTACTCGTTGTATACGTTCAATATATGTATGTCTAAAGAGTGAACCCAAAAATAGCTAATAGTAAAATATATACTTTTCTATTGTTTGTAAGTCTACTTAATTGGTTTAGTTTGTATTTACTTCGTTTGTTTATTAAGTCTTCATCCCATTTTTTAAACAATAAATACGTTGCTTGGAATAATTAAAACGTTTTCTTGGTTAAAAGGGATGCAAAAAAATGGCTGTCAAAGGCAGGGCAACTAATTAACCCGTACTATCCTATCCAGTTGCTGTAATTAGTCATTCTTTTACGACAGTGAATGGTTTAAAAAAAGTCGCTGGAAAGGGCTTAAACTGAGCAGTTGGGACTTTGCTATTTAATTTTAGTTTCTATTAAATTCGGATTAAATTGCATTGCATTACATTTCACTCTTGACTGCAGTTCCTTATAATTTGCTGACGATTTCAATGTTATTGTTAAGCCGATTTGGCATAAATGATGAGAACAGGACTTGTGTTTCCATCTTCTGAACTTATTAAGTGCATTTCTGTTGCAGAGTCTTCTTGGGTAATTTAATATGAAAATACCTTTGGACCGGTTGACTCCGCAAAGATGTCGTCTTGGGTTAATGTAAATTGTCATTTAATTTGTTGTGCGAGGAAATTCCGGGCGCGGCAAGTCAAAGGATTCATATTCGAGCGCAGGTGAAGGCATGCACTTAATTAAAGCCAGCTTTCTGTCTGAAACAAAAGACGGCTGACGAATTTCGAAGGAACATCTTGTGTGCTAGGATTCCGGCAAAGGTACCACCAGCAAATGTATGAAATTTCCCAGAATAGTGCAGCAAGCAGGCTTTCGGGTCGACATTAGGCAGATTCCTACGGAAGGTCCTGCACCAGAACAGGTCTGTGGCATGTCAAAGCTTTGTGCCTCCTCGTTTGAGCCTGAATTACAGGCATTGCTCACGAGTTTTATGTAATTACTGGGGAATTCCCCCGCCAACAAACACACACACACACACAACATTAACTTTAATTGCCACCGGGGCCCGAAAACTTTTAATTTTGTTGGGCGTAACTTCCCCATATTCATTTCGCACCTGCTCAATGGTTAGAAAAGAAATGGCCTGGCATGCAGCACGCTTAATTTGTTTACACAAATCTTGCTCAAATGGCAGCCACCCACCACCAAGCGAAATGAATTCCCAGCGAAGGAATATAAAAAATTGAAACAACTCTGAGTACTCGCACTCTGGCCGGGAAACTTTCGTCCTGCGAGTGTGTAACAATTAAACTGCAGCTAAAAATAGTGACTAATGAGAAAAGTTTCCAGCAGGGGCTGTAAAAAATAAAGGCAACCCAACTACTAACTTCCCTGAGCTGAAGCGAGCCCAGCAGAGTGTTTAACTTGCCAGGAACTTTTTCTATTTTGTATTGAATTTGCTGGCGTGTCGAGGCACAATTTGCAGGCATTAATGGCGGGATCAGCCAGCGCCAGCTGAAGTGTGCCAGCCATAAAGGGAGTTGCAATCTGGCCGAGACAATAAAACTCCGGCCATCATATCACACATTTATCCCCCAGCCGCAGGGAAACTTCCGGGAAAGTTTTCGGCTTGGCTTGATAAGGAAATTCTCCAAGTATTTACGATAGCGTGCAAAATGATGCTTACACCAAACAAAGAAGTGATTTCTAAATAATACAAAAAAACAACAGTATTAATTACACTCTAAAAAAGAAATACCACGATGAATGCTTAAGGATCTGTTTACAAAAGTCTACAGTCCCTACAGTTGTATTCTGAGGAAAAAGACCGAAAAGCTGGAAGAAATGTTGTTTTTAGCTATTTTTGATTATTGGTGTATTTGTTAGTCAAAACATTTGACAAGTACAACTATGTATCTTTCGAGCCCCAACTCCAAATATTTTAACTCGTAGAGTTAATGGGTAATTTGTATTCGTCTGAAATTAATGAAATGAAGCGTTTCCGACCCTATAAGATCTTGGTCAAGATCAATAGCAAAGTTGATTTAGCCAAGCCAATCGGTCTGTTCGCGTAAACGCTGGGATTTCGGAAACTACACCAATTAAGCATGCAGACTCTAGAGATTCTTGCGCAGCGCAAGTTTATTTCACCAGAGTGCCCGCCCACAAACCGCACAAAACTGTGGCACGCACAGATTTGATGCTATAATAAAAATTGTAACTGAAATGTATTTGTTTGGTCAATACCTATCGATTGACCTAAAAAAGTTTTCCACGTCCACTCTAAGGCCCGCAAACGGCCAGCATTGAATAGTTACAAGTCCTTAAAGTTATGACCGCTAGGTGGCGCCCCTATTTTTAAGGCTGTAGAGTTAAAATTTTACATGGAAATTATACTGGTGCCTATAAAGCCTATCGCCTAAATTTTTTTTCAGTATTATCTTAATTAATTTGTTAATATCTATCGGCGAGCCAAAATTGTTTTAAATCGGACTTTTAGTTAATGGGTTCAATTGATTAGCTGAGTAACGGGTATAGAATCTGTATGCTCAGATCTCAGCGTTCATTCGGACAGACAGACGTACAGGGCTACATCGACTCGGCTAGCAATGCTGAATATATATACTTTATAGAAGAATATATATGCTTTATAGAGTCGCATCCTTCTACCTGTTACATAGTACTTTCCGACGAATCTAATATGCCCGTTTACTCTACGAGACTTAAATATTGCTATGGCTCCCCACAGTTTTCTGTTTGTAGTATTTCCAATTGTGTTGCTCTAGGTCTAAAAGAAATTACTCTTGTAGAAATATTCAAACATTTTTGTGGTTACTGTTGCTGCTACGTATTAGTATGCTTCAAACGTAATGAGTTCCGGACAGATAGACTCTGGACAGCTACTGTCAATGGTTATCCACACCAGTCAGTCTTCATGGGGGTAGCGTAGCAGATCCTTAAATTTAAAAAGTGTGGAATTGCTGCATTAGTTATATCATAGCCGACATCTTCGCGATGTTTCATATCAACTCGTCACCTCAGGTTCTGTTTTTAAATAATACAAATAAAACGTTTAAAGAATTTGTTACCATAAAACATTTTTATTCGTCTTGGTGCAGGATGCAGTGGAAGAAACTAGTGAAATAAAGTATTTTTATTAACCTTATAAGGAAGTTTTTGTGCGAAAATATGGTGGAGTAAACAAAATAAAAATGATTACCAACAAGATTGGTAACGGTTCGCTGGGAAATCGTGTCGTTATCATCACTTTCGATGAGGCAGTAAATCATGATGGGGCGGCATTAAAAAGCGAGCTCAATTTATGTCTTCTTTCTTTATACAGGTGAGGTTACTGCCTTTCATTACCGCTCGATGATTGTGAAAAGCGTTGCAAGGCATTTGTTAATTAAAAGCAAGCAACAAATAGGCCCCGTGCTAGGAGGTAGAGCAGAAGGACGTGGGAACACGTGCTAAGTAAATACCCCACTTGCTAAGTACCAGCAGACATATCGCCCCCCTAGGATGCCCCCTCTCGACCCCCTTTGACAACGGCTCTGTCGTAAATTCACACGGGCCGCGGCTTTTGTTTGTGTGCGTGTCGGGCGACGTTTTAATGCATAAGGAAATATACTCGCGCACAAAAAGGAGCCGTCAAAACATTACTTTCTCCGCCGCCTCGTGTTTGGGTATTTGTTTATTTTCGCATGAAAATAAATGCGTTTAATGGCGGAAGTTTATGCCTCGTAAAGAGAAGTTAATTAGCTTTCTCGAGTATGAAATTTGTTCCGCTGCCATCGCCCTTCCATACCGCCGCACGTTTTCAATAGCAAATTGAAAATTTTCCAATAACGTATACGAGTATATGGCCGCAAATATGTGTTTAACTTTCTCCTGCTGGCTGGCCTGCGATTGCTGCACAGAGGAAAATATTTCAATTTTAATAATTTTTCTTTCATCATTCTAATGATTGTGATTAAGGGGGGAAATACAATTAAAAGGCCTAAAATGAGGCCTATCTTTGGGAGTGGATTGCAAGTAGGAGTTATGAAATATATTGGGTGGGCAAGAAAGTCATGTCGTTTTTTTTAGTAATCGTTTTTAATCTAATTTATTTACGACTAATCGAGCACCAGGGTCACACTTTTTAGTATCGTTTTAAAGCTTATTGTCTTAGGTACTATCGACGAAAATTTGGTAATTATTCGATAACATTTGTGGAAGCTATAGCAAATTAAACATGGAGGACCAAAGTGAGCATTTTCGGCATATTTTGCTTTTTTACTTCCGAAAAGGAAAAAAAGCGGTCGAAGCTCGCGAAAAATTGTGCGAAGTGTATGGTAAAGATGCCATGAGTGATCGCCAATGTCAGCGCTGGTTTGCCAAATTCAGGCTTGGAGATTTTGGAGTTAAAGACGCCCCACGTTCTGGTCGACCATCGGCCGTTTTTGACGAACAAATTCAGGCTTTGCTCGATGAAAACCGGCGCTATTCAACGCGGGAGATGTCAGAGAAGCTCAGTGTGTCGCATACAACGGTTGAAAACCATTTGAAGAAACTTGGCTACGTAAGCAAGCTCGATGTTTGGGTTCCGCATAATTTAAAGGAAATTCACCTAACTAAGCGTATCAACATCTGCTATTCTCTGCTGCAACGGATTAAAAACGATCCTTTTTTGAAGCGGATCATTACTGGCGACGAAAAGTGGGTTGTTTACAATAATGTCCAACGAAAAAGATCATGGAGCAAGAAAGATGAGCCAGCCCAAGCCACATCAAAGGCCGATATCCCTCAGAGGAAAGTTATGCTGTCTGTTTGGTGGAATTGGAAGGGTGTAGTGCACTTTGAGCTGCTGGGACGGAATGAAACCATCAATTCAGATGTGTACTGTCGCCAGCTATCCAATTTGGCGGAAAAAATTAAAGAAAAGGAGCCGGCACTAGCTAATCGCAAGGGTATAGTCTTTCCCCATGACAACGCTAGGCCCCACACATCTTTGGTCACTCGGCAAAAATTAACGGAGCTGAATTGGGAAGTGCTACCACATCCACCTTATAGTCCGGACTTAGCACCTTCAGATTACCATTTGTTTCGCTCTCTTCAAAACTCTTTGAATGGTAAAAACTTTGATTCAGATGAGGCTGTCGAAAACCACTTGTCTCGATTCTTTGCTGGAAAAGACCAAAAGTTCTTCGAGCGCGGAAT